ACACACACACACACACACACAAAGCAAGAAATTACCAACAGCAGATGACAATTTTTTTTTATCAGCATAACTCTTCTGCCTTGGCATTATCTCTGAGAGTCCGGATGAGAATACTCTTTGTCCAAATGCAAATTTCATCAGAAGCTAGTCATCAAGAAGACAACTATCAAGAAATGAAGTCACATCACTTCTAGCCAAATAAGACATAAATAAAAGTCCATGTATTTTTTACAATCTTCTTTGCCTAGCCATCTGAGAAATATGCAGTCCAACAGAGTTCACTTGCAACAATCGAGATATAAATCTGTTACACACTAAATTCCTCTCCCAACAGCCAAGGTTTCCAGAAGATAGTCTAAGCTCCTAACTTTGTCCTTCACTGGACGATACAGCTCAGTTCCACTAGACCAGGGGTGGGGAACCTGAGGTTTCAAAGCCACATGTGACCCTCTAGGTCCTCAAGAGCAGCCCTAAGGGACTCAGTCAAAGGGCCATACTTGAGGACCTAGAGGGCCACATGTGGCCTTGCATATTCCCCATCCCTGTGTCTAGACCATATTATATCCATGAGTCTTAGGTGGTCTATGAAAACAAAATAACCCCCAATACACCGATCTGCAAAAATGTTAAGAGTATACTCCTATTCTGTACTTCTGTCTAATTATTTTGACCAGTTTCTTCAGATCTATGCTTGCCTTCCAATGCCTACAAAATTTTATGCCAGTAGAACAACTTTTTGTGTGAGAAATCATTTTCCTACAGTTACTTTCTGATCCATTGTAGTACAATGGCTTTTTGTACCACGGTTTTCCAATTCTTTGAAAAATACTCTCACCCAAATCTTTTTATAACACAAAATGCACAGTGACCAAAATGTTTTGGTTAGAAAACTACTCTATAAGCACAACTAGACAGGACTAGTGGGAACCTTCAGAGAACTTTGTACTACACTAGGAAATCTCTGGACCCATTCTGGCTCTCCAAGCAAGAGAAATCCAAGATACTCACCTAAGTGAATGTAAAGGCATGTCTTCAAAAGTCACTTAGTTTTACATTCCCTAAGCAGGAGTATTTTTGAACCAGAAACCCAAGAACACTATAAAATATTTACATATGATGATTTATAGGAGCCATTTCTTTTTCTGAAAAGAAAAAAATGTTGCTAAAAGGCAAGAGAAATGTTTACGAAGTAAAGGCTTTTTGTTTTATTTATGAGTCTCCCAAACTAAAGACTAAAGCATTTGATTATGAAAAGGGAATGGGGAAAAAAAGAAACCAAGAGTAGGGGAAGGAGGGGGTGAAAGGTGTAGCAAGGAATGGTAAGAAGCAGGAAAAGAAATTAACCAATGATTGCCACAGTTCCAACTATTATTCAGTACTACAAATTCTAAGTTTAGAGTTCATCCAACTAAGAAGGGATTTGTGAGAAAGATAAGAAAACAATTTTTGGCAAGAAGCCCAAGAATGAAGTTGCCTTCCTCAGTAATTTTTATAAATAGAATGATATCTAAAAACTTGAGATCAGAAATAGGAATATAAATTTTAGTATAAATATACATAAAATTTAGTATAAAATGGGAGGAGAGTTTTCTAAACTTTAGCCCAGATCTTTTATGCCTTTGTAAAAAGCAAAGCCCACACATAACCTAAAAAGCATCGTCTGAACAACAATTCACTGGTTTAAAATGTTATGATTCCTTATTAAAACTGACATAAAAAAAACTGACATCGTCAGACTGAATTTATTACTTTCAAATTTTGCCAAGTACAACATTAATGGGTTCAGACATCCTTTAATTCATCTCTCTCCTAGGTCAATAACTCAGAAAGAAGGCCATTTACATGCACCCCTAAACTTTTCCAAATCTTGCTTGGAGAGCTTCCTCATGTCCCACTGTCCTTTAGTTTCAGAACTGTTCTTCTGACCCACCAGGGCAAAAGAATATAACATTTGTTCCATAACCAGGATCTGCAATTCAAAGTCACAAATCTTCTAACTCAGTGAAGCTATATTAGCTTTCTCTTCAAAAGTACATGACCTACTTTAATCTTATAAGCCAGTCTCAACTGCTCACCTTACCCAGGGCCTGAACTGCTTGCTGTTTCCTATGACTATTAACCCACACAGTATTTCCACATTTGTCACTACATAACCAACCTGAAAATTACATAACAAGTCTCATTTAAATCCAATTTCCTTCATACTTCCTTAAGAATATACCCACCTAAAAGTAAACCATCTGCTATGTCTCTGCCGCTCTCTACAGGGAACTAGTTAGGGAGGCACTGCTAACATGAGTTACAGGAAAATGACTTTAATGCTAGGGTGCCGTCTACTGGAGAGAATGGAAAGTAGTAAGTTGGATTTATTAAGGGTCCTGAAAGAAAGCACTGCAGAGATGAGAGAATTTAGATCTAGAAGGGTCCTGAGAGGACAACCAGGCCAACTCCCTCGTTTTAATGAGGCCCAGAGAATTTAGGTGAATTGTCCAGGGCCACAGAACCAGGAAGAGAACACACGTCTTCTGACCACAAATCCACTACTCTTTCCAGTATAGCACATCACTCATGAGACACCCCCACACACACCCCTCCCCTCTGTGTCACTGCAACTTTTGATTCTTCAAGAAATTCAGGTGTCTATCAGCTCTATAGCAGCCCACTACGATGTTATTTTTGAGGTCTGTGCAGTGGAACTGCTTGCTAATTCAATGACCATCCCTTTCTGAGTAAGGTTACAAACACAGACCTGCAGGTACAAAACTGAGCTGTACAAACAGAGTTAAAATGAAATTATAGCACAAAGGTTCTTAACCTTTTTTGTGTCATGGACTCCTCTAGCAGTCTGGTAAAGGAACTACGGACTCCTTCTCTGAATAATGTTTTTACAAGTATAAAATTATACACAGGATTACAAAGGAAACCACCATACTGAAATACAGTTGTCAAAATAATATTTTTTTAAAAAGAAAATTCATAGGTCTCTATTTAAGAACCCTTGCTCTAGATATTACCTCATATGCTCTTACAACAGCTTCATAATATGAAAGCAGAGAGGATATATGGCAATGAAGAAACCATACAAGATACTAACAAGAGAGCTGAATCTAAATCTTAAATCCTCTCTGTGTGACCTTAACATATTACTCTCCGGAATCCAGATTCCTATTTAGTAAAAATGAAAAGACAAGGATAAATGATCTCTATGGTCCCATCTACCACTGATATTCTATGATTCCTAGAGCAATTATTCCTAATTTAAAAATGAAGACCTAAGTACAATACAAGAGAATATATGAAGTTCTGCTGCAAGTCACTGGGAAGCTAGAACCCCAGTCTCCTGACTTTCAGTCCAAAACCCAGTCAAACAGAAAGAAAACCAGCCTAAAACCCAGGCCCACCTCGGCCATTTATTACCTGTGTGACTTTGAGTAAGTTAGTCCCACTTCTCTTCATCTACAGGCAGCTAGGTGGTGTAGTGAATAAAGCGCTAGGCCTACAGTCAAGAAGACCTGAGTTCAAATTTCACCTCAGACAAAGAAGTCAATCCAGGCCTTTAAAAAGCAGGTAAAGAAGATGAAAGACAAGGACAGACAATGAATAACAAAAATAAAAACATTGGCAAAGTCACAGATAAGAAGTATCAGGAGAACTAAAACTCCAGATCAGCTGAGGATGACCATCCACACTAAGAAGAATACAAAGGACTTCTTTCCTGCTTTTTGGAAGCAAGGGGAAAATGAAAAGGGGGTAGTGAGCCCACAGACTATTTGGGTTGATGGAATAATGAGAACGCATAACAGAGAAAAGGAAGCACTATTCTCTCTGATTCTTTTGGAAGTAACATGGAACAACCTCTAAAGTGAGAAGACCAGAACAAAAAATGGTTAAGAAGAAGTAAAAACCCAAGATAAATGAGAAGATAAGGGAATACAGAGCTGCCATCAACGAGTTCTGGACACGAGGCCCACATGAACTTCGCCTCAGGGGATGGAAAGATGTGACCAATGAGCACGGTTCGTGATCGCTGCAAACTATACAAGAAGCAGAGGCACCACCTCCAACCACAGTTAGAACAGGGTTCTGGAAGAGTACACCGAATTAAAAAAGGAAAAAGATAAACAAAAGGGAATGGACAGGGCAGAATTATATATTAAGAAGATGCACACAACTGAAGAAATCTAGGAAAAAAAGAAGGGGGAATATGATGAAGAACATCTGGGTGAAGATCAATGGAGGCAGAGACAAGTTGATCACACTGGGGCCACACAAACAGAACAAGGAAATAAATGAGGACTTCTAGAAACTGATCACGTAGAATTCGTGCTTGGCCTAGAAAAAAACCAATGACAATTTTTCCTTTATGATGTAAAAAGATTCTTTTACAGGTTGGATGATTGTTGAGGTTCTTTACAGCTCTGAAATTTTGTGATTCTAAGATTCTTTTCCACTGTCAGTCAGCTGTTCACCCCTCTGTTGAATTTTTGTGATTCTTAAAAGCAGTACACCTGTATTGATGTCTGAATTTAGAGAATGCTGTTATAAGTCAGTTCGACTATTTAAAAAATGGTCTATTTCTACTAGCATTTATGAACAAATTTGGGTTATGCCCCAATTTCTGGTTAATCTGCCATGTGGAGATGGAATGTGGAACATTTAAACTGTACTTCACCTTTAGGTCAATAAACTGACCTAATACAGTTGGATCAATGTTACAATTAAGAATTTAGGTTCCAAACATCCTGCAGAGATCCTGACTTCCCAGGAACCTATTAAGGCTGAATATAGTAAGGCCTTTTCTTATTTCCCCGGTTTCTTTAGATTTAAACCATGTAAAACTCAGGGGGAACAAAAGAACTTAAAGCCTAACTCCAAGGTGGCAGCAGGGGGAGAGAATTTACTTGTCAACAAACACACAGGACAGAAAACAATTAAGTATGTTGATTTTTTTTAAAAAAGATTAATTTATATTCCAATATTGAAATGAAAAATATACTTACTTGAGAAAAGTCATGTTCTCTCTCCTCACTAGTCTGAGGACTGTTACTTGCACAGGAAATACAGTCTGATATTTCCACCGCACTCTCATTTTCTACAAATTCGGGACATTCATTACTACCGTCTTCTTCACTGTCACTATCATTCTCCCAGTCAATGAATTGAGGCTCACCTGACAACATAAATTACATTAAATTACAATGAATTGTAACTTCAACTCTATAAATACCTACATAGATTTTATTCAACACTGAGGAATGAGCTAAAATAGTCACTTCCTATAGCAACAGAGCTGGCCTAGAATCAAGAGGACCTGGGTTCAAGCACTGCTTCTATCACTTCAGATAATTTCAGCTCTCAGTGACTCAGATAATTCAAATGATCTAAGATGGAGGAAAGTTACCAATAGACATTCATAGAAAGAATTTTCTAAGGGTTCTTTACACCAAAGAAATTACTGATGTAGTAAGTAAAACCTAACTGGGCACGATCTTTGCAAAATTTCCTTAAATTAAAATTAGATATTTTAATCTTTTAAGTAACACACCAGTCGCTTAAACATGACAAAAAGTATTCAGAAGGTACCACTTAAGAAGACTCAGGACACTTGCCACAGGACAAGAACGAGAGGGCTAGATGTTCAAGGTGAAATGAGAGCAGTAGTTGTGTGTCAAGGGTCACCACACATACCCTGAGTCACCCTATGGGACACACAGCCAAGACTGAGAAGTACCAGGGAAAGACTTTGCACTGAACATGGAGTTACAAGACTGGAGTCTGAATCTCTGCTCTGCCGTTTACTTCCAGAGTAAACTGGGGCAAGTCACTTAATCTCTACAGACCTCATTTTGCTCATCGCTTAGATGAAAGAGTTAGAATAGATGATTTTTGTGGTTATGATCCCAAATCTTCCCAAGTTCCTTCTGAGACAGCAAAACCTACACTCATTTTCTTTCCATAAAATATCCTAATGGAATTCAGAATATCTAAAAAAATATAATCTATTGAGCAGTTGATCAAAGGATGTTTGGGAACAGGTGATTTGCCCATGGTCAGACTTATCTGAGGCAAGACTTAAACTCTGATCCTTCTGACTCTAAAGGCGGGATCTTTATCCACTATACTACTCTCCATGTGGAAGATATCCTTCTTTGAAATTAATATATTATAACAATTATCCACACTGTTCAAGTGGTTGTTCTACTGGACCCCCAGGTAATTTTCCCTCTTTTCTTGGGGAGTTTAACCCTTGGCTCACTGTTCTCTTCTCCTTCCCAATTCCTGCCTCACACTAGGAGATTTCAACAACTATGCTGATGCTCCCTCAAATGCCTTAATTTCACATTTCCTCAGACTCCTTAAATCTATGACTTATTCCTTCACTCTACCTCAGCCATACATAGGATGGTCACAGCATGGATCTCACCATTAATCAAGAGTTTTCCAATTCCTTAATTAAAAACTTTGACCTTCTTTGGGATCATATCCTCCTATCATTTCATCTGTCATTATGCCGCATCTTTCTTAAACTTACCCTTCACCCTCATCATGAATTCTAGTGGTTCTACTCCTCTATAGTTTCTTAGGCCCTTATTCTAGTTCCAACTTCACTTTCCTCTCTTCCTAGTCTCAACCATCTAGCTGACTTTCTTAACTCCATACTATCATCAGCTCTCAAACACCTCACTCCCTTGGCCTGCTGCCACTCACCCCTCACCAAACCCCAGACCTAGGTTTGCAACTTTGGTGTTATACTTAATCTCCTCATTTTCCCTCACTTAACATGTCTAATCAGTTGCCAAATCTTGCTGTTTCAAAATAAAATTGTATCATTTTAGATTTTCAACACTAGTGTTATATCATGCTTGTTTTTCTATAATAGCACTAGCATTGCAATTTATAGTTTTTAAAATGATCTTTTCTTTTTAATTAATTAATTAATTAATTTTTAGTTTTCAACATTCACTTCCAAAAGCTTTTGAGTTTTAAATTTTCTCTCCCTCCCATGACTTTTCTCAGTTCCTCAAGCAACTCTCTAAGACAATCGCCACTGGTGAGAGGAAGTTCCCACATTGGCAGTTCCTTATGCTGATGAAGTAACAGGTCTGTACCTCACCTCAGCCAATCCCCTTCCCACCCCCAAAAAAACCCCTATCTCATATGAATGGATTTTTCAAAAAAATACAATTTACTCTTTTAAGTACAAAAAAATGTTAACTTTAGCCATTTTTTATTGAATCCAAAAGCATTACATAATTACATGCTTTCTTAAGGATAAGAAAGTATACAAAACATAATCTTTTCCTGATGACGGGATAATATCATGGCCCTCAATTACTGGTTTTAAAGTAGTATAGTAGTTTTTCCAGAATTTTCTTTTGCTATCATGTCTTACTTCTTTAATCAGTACCTCTATACTTTACTGTCAGCACTCCTCCATTCTGATTTGCTGCCTCATAAGTACTAAGGTTTAAGAAACCAGAAAACCAAGGTTGCTAAAACTGTGTATAAATTAAAAGATAATAAAAGTCTGAGTGATGGCCTTAGGGACTTTCCTACACAGTCAGGCATACTATCCAAAGCACATAATTATTTCAGCAGTCTCTTTTGCTTACTTTCTAGTTCTTGGCTGTGTTCCAAGAAAGCTGAAGTTGCAGGTTGCCAAGTAACTACTTCCTAGGCAAATGAGAAATTGCCCAACATTTCTGATAGTTTTGTTGTCATTTAAAGTTGTCTGCATTTACATAGTTGTGACATTTGTGTGTACCTTTCTTTTGGTTCTGTTTTGCTCACTGTATTATTTCATACAAATCTTCTCATATTTCAATGACTTTTTCATATTCATTGTGATTTACAGCATCATTCTCCCCTGGTCATCATTCATTCTTCTTATTCTAGCTGCATGTATTTTTTGTACAAAAGCTTTTTATTTTTATATAGTCTACTTTGTCTTTTATAATATTCTTTCTGTCACAGAGGACTACAAATTCATCCCTTATCCACATGTGTGAGAGATAGTTGGTGGAATAGGGAAAAAAAAGCAAGATGGCTCAGTTAATATAAAACTGTAGCTAGAGACAAGAAGACCTGGTTTCAAATCCTGACTCTGACACTTTTAAGACTGTTATAGAAGGGGCAGGTAGGTGGTGCAGCGGACAGAGCACCGGCCCTGGAGTCAGGAGGACCTGAGTTCAAATCCAGCCTCAGACACATAACACTTACTAGCTGTATGACCCTGGGCAAGTCACTTAACCCCCACTGCCCAACCAAAAGACAAAAAAAGAAAAAAAAAAAGACTGTTATATACAAAGTGAAAGTTGATGTGGCAGAGTCTGACAAAATCATAATTACTTAATGTAATGACATACAAAGGCAAAGGAACAATCCAGACAATGTAATCTGGGACAATTTGAGGAAGGCAAAGAATACTTTCAGTTTAAAACCATCTTGATCAGGCCACATGAAAGAGAGGTCACAGCATCTTAAGGTCCACGACATACAAGGAGGAGAAAGCTACATGGTATAATAGAAGGAAGAACACTGAATTTGGCATCAGCAGGAATGGATTCGAGTACCAGTCAACATTTAGCTATATTTATCGTGGACAAATCACCTCCCTGAGTTACAATTTCCTCACCTGTGTAATGTGGATGGCAATTTTTGGACTATGTAACTCACTAGGTAGTTGTAAGGAAAGTGCTGTATAAACCTAGAAGCACTATAGAATTGTGAGCTATTACTAATAGTGTTAAAGTCAGATACACCTAGATGAGGGCACAGCAGATTTCAAAGAGTTCAGAGAATGGATATTATATCATGGTCTATAACTCAATAGATAAATCATTGATAATAGCTAGCTAGCATTTATATAGCGCTTTAAAGTCTGCAAAAACACTTAAATATTATCTCATTCGATCTTTACAACAATTCAGGAAGGTAAGTACTATTATTATTCCCCCATTTTAGAGATGAAGAAACTAAGGTTGAGAGGGATTAAATAAGTTTTATAGCTAGGTAAGTGTCTGAAGCTGCATTTGAATTCAGGCTTTTCTGGATCCAAGTCTAGCATTAACTAGCTGCCTCTAAGCTGGCTTAAGATGGGTACAACATTATCAAAAACAGAATTATGATGGCATGAACACTAATGCTCCTGATAAGTAATAAAAAAGCTACCTGAAAAGAACAATACTGATGTAACAAAAAACCCAGCAACTAAGTCAGATTTTAAAGAATAATTTACCAAAGCCAGGTGACTGAGGATAAATACAAACGTGTGACAAGCTCCAATGTCTCTGATAAAGGCCTCATTTCTAAAATATATAAAGAACTGAGTCAAATTTATAAGAATACAAGTCATTCTCCAATTGATAAAAAGTCAAAGGATATGAACAGGCAGTTTTCAGAGGAAGAAATTAAAGCTACCTATAGTAATATGAAAAAATGTTCTAAATCACTATTGATTAGAGAAATGTAAATCAAAACAACTCTGAGGTATCACATCACACCTATCAGATTGGCTAATATCACAAAAAAGGAAAATGACAAATGTTGGAGAAGATGTGGGAAAACTAGAACATTATTGCATTGTGGGTGGAGTTATGAACAGATCCAATCATTCTGGAGAGCAATTTGGAACTATGCCCAAAGGTCTATAAAAATGTGCATACCCTTTGACCTAGCAACAGCACTTCTAGGTCTATATCCCAAAGAGATAATAAAAATGGTGAAAGGACTCACAAGTACAAAAATATTTATAGCAGCTCTTTTTGTGTAGGCAAAGAATTGGAAATTGAGGGGATGCCCATCAATTGGGGAATGGCTGAACAAGTTGTAGTACATGGATATAATGGAATACCATTGTGCTATAAGAAATGATGAACAGGTAGACTTCAAAAAAACCTGGAAAGACTCACATGAACTGATGCAGAGTGAAATGAGCAGAACCAGGAGAATGTTGTACACAGTAACTGCCACACTGTGTGATGACTGACTTTGATAGACTTGGCTCTTCACAGCAATGCAAGGATCTAAGACAACTCCAAAAGACTCACAATGGAAATTGCTATCCACATCCAGAGAAAGAACTATGGAGTCTGAATGCAGATGGAAGCATACTATTTGCTCTCCTTTTCCTTTGTTGTTTTGTTTTACTGCTTCATTCTCATGGTTCCTCCCATTAGTTTTAATTGTTCTCTACATCGTGACTAATGGGAAACTATGCTTAATATGAATGTATAAGTACAGCCTATATCAGATTGCATGCCATCTTGGGGGTACAGGGATGAGTGAAAGGGGGAGAAAATTTAAAATTCAAAATATTATGGAAGTGAATATCACAAACTAAAAATTAATTAATTATCAAAAAAAATTTTAAAAAGAAAGAAAAAATAACATAAAGCTGGGAAGGATCACTAAAACACAATGGAAAACAAAATTGGGATCTAAAAGCATCTGAAAGGCTAAAACATGAAGCCAAATCTAATAAGATGAAATTTAATAGAGATACAGGTAAAATTTTACACTTAGTTTTAAAATATTAATTTCACAAGTAAAATATAAGGAAGGAGTAGCTAGATGGCATTTTACCTGAAAAATAACTAGGACCAGGGATCCTAGCCTGAGATCCACGAACTTCTTTTCATATTTTGACAATTATATTTCAATATAACTGGTTTGCTTTATAACATTATTTTATTTTCTGTATTTAAAAACATTATTCTGAGAAACGATTCATTGCCTTCACTAGACAGCCAAAGGCTAACATAAAAAAAAATTAAGAACCTTTGATCTAGTCATTTTAATAAACTACAAATTCAATATGTGTCAACAAGATCCCTTATTTCATCCTACTACAAATTGTAACTCTGCCACAATTTCTCATCTGTAAAGGTTTCATATCATACTACAATAACTAAAAAAAGAAAAAGAAAAGAAAAGTAATGTCATCCTAGACAGTATCCAAATCTAGGAAGGGCATAGTCCTAGACAACTTTTCACTGTTTGGGGAATATCTAGAATAGTGTGTTCTAATACTTCTGGGCACAAAATGTTAAGAATAATACTGATAAGCTGGTTAATGTCCAGAGGAAAGCACCCAAAATAGTCAATGCATTGAGATCATACCATATGAGGACTGATTAAAAAAGTTGGGGATAGACAGCCTGGAAAAGAGAAGATGTGGAGGCCTGAAGAATGGGTACAGTCTTTGAGTACTAGAAGGGTAGTTAATGGAAGAGGGATAAGCTTGTTCTGCTTGGCCCCAAAGGACAGAACTTATCAGTGGAAACTAGAGAGGGCCGATTTTAATGCAGCATATGGAAAGACTTCCTAATAATTAGAGCTGTACAAAAGTAAAACATGTTGCCTTGGGAAACAGTGGATTCCCCACAATAATGGTCCTCAAGACAAGGCCAGGGTTGTCCTGTGTTATTCATACATGGATTAAATGGTCTCTAAGGTTCATTCAAACTCAGATTATATGACTTCACTGGGGTATGTTTAACAGGAAGAGGTCAGCCTTTCATGGAGTAATGATGAGAGGCAACAGATCAACAATGGTATCAAACAACGCACTAAAAGAACAAGATGGCGTTTTCCACAGACGTTTTAAAGTGAAAATATGAACAAGAATCTCTCATAACAACAAAGTGCGGTGGGACTGCAATTTACATAGAATGAAACCAAGGATCTTTCAAAGCATCAAAGTAAATAGAAATGCAATTACATCATTGACACTATGTCACATTCAGTTCCTAGAATTATAGGCACAGTAACTAAGGGAAAAACCGGCCTCTCTAATGTGTGCCTTTCAAATAAACCTTTTTAAATGTTGTCTAGCATCACCGAAGTGATACAAATTATTAAAAAGCTGTAAACGTGACTTCAGTTCATCTAAGGCTTTTAGCATAATTAAAATCCTTAGCTTTCATATGACCTACAAATCACCAAGAACACTAATGAATTAAAACATAATCATAACTAAACCAAGCATTTCTTCTACCCATTAATTCTTACACTTTTTATCCAAAACACAAGTTAGTCAAACCACATAATATCATTATTATTGATTCTGAAGAAAAAATGCAACAGAACTTGAATTTCTTAAAAATCTAGCAACTTACCTTCACTGCTGTTGTCATCTATGTTGGGAGTACATCTTTTATATTTCTGAGATTGACAAGGCATCTCTTTATCTTCTTCTGAGAGATCACTCCCACTAGAGCTCCATATTATGTCAGAAGGTCCCTTTGAAGCTTCAGATGGAGAAGCTACTATTTTAGAAAACACAAAAAAATCAGAAAAAATCAATTAAATTAAGCTGTTTGTTGATCAAAATGAAATATTTCATCAATGTCAGTTAATTAGTAGCATGAAGATTTAAGATTCAATTTAACAGATATTAAATGACTAACATAAGCAAGACACTCTACCAGGCTCTAATAAATGAAGGGATGCCTTACCAAAATATAAGCATATTTCAATAATGATATAAGCCAAGCATCTGCCCAGAGCACCATCTATTACAAGGGCAAAAAAACAAATAATTTCATGTAAGAGAAACAAAATAAGATGAAGGAGGATAGAGAAGTAGATTGCAGAGCAAGAGAGCATAAGAAGGCCTGGCTCCTTATGATTCCCCTTCAAAAGTAGCAAAAGAAATTGGGAAAAGAAATAAAGTTGTTAGAAATTCTTATATGAAATCCTTGTCAAAAAGTTGATGCACAAATAAAAGAAGTTGGATGATAAAATAAAAGTACAAATATTACAACAATAACAGCCATAGCAGCACTAGAAATATAAGAAATCCAGAGAAATAAAAATCATAAATAATAGATATATGCAAAGAATTAAAATAATTAAAATCAGCCTCCACTTACCCAAAAAAATTAGGCATAAAAAGAATAAAGAACTGAGTTATAAATCCTGGGAGAAAAGGATGATAAAATTCTCCCAAATTAAAAATATTTTAAAGAATCTGATTAATCAGAATAGGTATTGCCTCTACCAATGTAGATTGCAACCCATCTGTGACTTAGAAGACATTCTTTAGGAGCTGCTACGACTGAACAAAATCACAGGATAGCCAAGCTTTTGGTGATGAATCTCCCAAATTCAGCTAGGCTGTCTTCAGACAATAAAAAATCCCAGTCTTTTCATCTTAGAAGAACCTATCAGAGTATACATTCTCTGGCACAGCCTTTAAAAATCTACTGAAGAGGCCCTGCAAAAGGACTTCAGGAAAGAAAATTATAAAATAGCATCAACTAAAAGCAAGATTAATAGAATCAAAGACAGAATGGCAGGTAATGCAGCTAAGACGGACAGAGAAATGCCAATAAAGACAAAATAGTTGTAGCGAAATAGAACTAAATATATATATGAAAAGCATATGCAAATATATATGAAAAATTAGCATTTGATAAATGCAAGATTACAAGACATGGGGAAAATTAATCATTATTTAATAAAAATTTGAGGGGACATGAATAGCAATGTGAAAAAAAAACAAATTTAAACTGACACCTCACAATATATACTATAAAAATTCCAACTGGATCAATGATTTAAAAACATAAAACCACAAACAATCTGAAGAAAAAGATAATATATCTATCTTAATTGTGAACCAAAGAAAAAGTATAGAAACAAAAGAGACCAGAGGGAGGGACAGAACAAATGTTATTATTACTATGATTTTGTTAAGGGTTATATTTTTTTCTTTTACCAAAATGCAAAATATTCCAAGTTTATGCACTGGAGAAATTTAGTTCTTGCCTGTAGTCTGTATATTCTTCATTTTTATTGAGATTAAATATGTGATAAAATTTTTAAAAAATAAAAAGATTTAGACTCGATACAAAAGTGTTATAAAAGACTAGCAAAGCCACTGAAGCATGGACAAAGGCCTCAGAAAGGAATTTTATGACAATGAATTATGAGGCTATAGTTTCCAAGAAAGTTCATGAGGTACTCAATAAATATTTGTTAATGATGATATGAATCCTCTTGAGCTTTTCTCTGGTGCAATTTTACTCTGGGACCTTGCCTATAGTAGTGGACTCAATAAAACAGTTAATGGTAGTTTTTGAAACAAAAACTTTAAAATAGGAGAAAAGCAAAAAAAAATTTTAAAAAGCTATTAATTATAAAGAGATAATCATTCTGTCCACATTTCCCAAAAATGCTGGCTATAAAACACAATTCCTGATCTGCCCAGATGAAAGAGTTTTTCTCTTCCTTCCCTGTGGAGCTCTGGATCTCTCCTTTCCCCACAAATGTACAAATAAATACATGTCATATCCTATAACCCCCTTCCTAGATTGTCAACTACTTAAAAGCAAGAATTACATTTTTTCCCCATCTTTGTACCCCTGTTCTAGTGCCTTACAATAAGTGATTCTCTAGTGCCAGAAGGCATTTAACAAGCATTTGTCAAAATGATTCTAGTCTCTTAGAGAAGAACAGAAGAGCTATATTCAGCTCCTTACATACTTCTCTGCAATTAACTGCATCTTGTTCTCTAGCTACCTCCCCTTCTATTCCTTTTACCTGGTCCTACTCTTAATTAAACAAAATAAGGTAAGATCTGATTTATTCTGAAATAAGAAAAACAAAAGGTGAGGATGGTGCTATGGTGATCGTGAGTAGGGTGGCTATCTTTACATGTTTTTTTGGTAGAGTTGAGTGAAAGGGAGGGATCTGTCATTGAATGAAAACGTCAGAGAACCTCAGGTCCAGTACAATGTGCCTAGAGCCAGAGATGTGGATGCTAGAGATCAAAACTTAAGGTTTAAGTTCCAAAAATGCGACAGAGCCCCAACATGTGGAACTGCCAACATAGATTGGGTACTACCACTAGTAACCCATGACTAACGAGTTGACTTCTGATTGATTTCCTGTTACCCCACACTGTTTTTGAGGCAGCAAGGTGGTGCAGTACATAGAGCACTAGACCTGGAATCAGGAAGATGAGTTCAAATACAGCCTCAAACACTTTAGCTGTGTGACTCTGGCCAAGTCCCTTAACTTTTGTCTGCCTCAGTTTCGACACTCAATTATAAAATTTGGACGATAATAACACCAACCTTGAAAGGTTGTTGTCAGGATCAAATCAGATATTTGTAAAATGCTTAGCACATAGTAGATGCCATCTAAATATTTATTACCTCCCCAACCCATTCCTTTTCTCCCAACATTTAAATTCCATGGTAATGACAAGAGGGAGATAAACTGTTTCTTAAAAACTTTTTAGGGGCAGCTAGGTGGTGCAGTGGAGACAGCACCGGTGCTGAAGTCAGGAGGACTTGAGTTCAAATCTAGCCTCAGACCAAACACTTGACACTTGCTAGCTGTGTGACCCTAGGCAAGCCATTTAACCCCAATTGCCTAAAAAGAAAAAAAGGGAGAAAAAAAAAAGCTATTTAGAAAAGGTAACATGGAGCATAACAGATGAAAGAAGGCTTTGGGAAAGGGGAGAATAAGGATAATATTCATTCCATAACCCTTTATTCAATGCATTTATTATACACCAAGTATTATCCTTAGTACTAGAGAAAGACACAAGGATAATAATAAAGAGTTTCTACCCTCTTGAAGGAATTACAAATGGGATGAAAAATTTCAATAACCACCTATCCAGTAAACACAGATTACGCCAAGAAATCAAGACACCTGAAGTCCACAATCGTCATCAGTTCATTTTGTCATTTCTGGGGGAAAAAAATGTTATGTAGCTTTACTTACTTTAATACTTTTGGTATTAATTTCTGAAGAACAAATGGAAGATATTTCTATCTCACAACAATACCGATAGGCTTCCATGACACAAGACTTGAAGTGTCATGAATCATACACTGAGTTTCTCAGATAAGTATTCCATAAATATACAGTAAAATCTTGATTAACCAGATTAACCAGCATGTAAACTGAGAGCCTGATTAATTTGATTTTTGGTTAAGTGAGAATTAACTAGAAAATCCTGTTTCTACCTTTACTGATGAAAACCTTTATAAAATGTATGACTACCGTTTTTTATCTTAATGTGGTACACTAAACATAATTAAATTTTTCTTTTATGATTGAAAATAAAATTTCTCCTTATGTCTCATACCACTTTGCACTTATTATACCCAATTCTGTATTATAGCTATTATGTCCACATTTTCTCTTTGTAAGCAGGAACTATGCTTTAATCTTTTGTTTACATGTGGGGAAAATTAGGCCTATCACCCTGTGCCTTGTCCCTAGGGAGTACACCGTAAACAAGTACTGCTTAGTTTTTACTTGAGTTCATACAACTATTTAGTAATAGAATATAGTGATTCTCAAAGGAATTGATTCAGATTGGAAGATTCAATGCCTACCAGAATGTACACACAGTAAGTTCTTAATAAATGTGAATGAACTGAATTTTTCAGTTTCTAAGAACCACCACTCTCACTATGAACTCGGGAAATAGAGAATATTAGTCTGCAGTGTGACCCCTTAAATTTCTTTTGGCCTAAATCTCTTATACACCGAGTGCCAAAAGCACAATCTCAAGAACTTGGGACCTTTACTTTCAGCCAGACTTATTTCAGGCCCCAGGTCTAAGCAAAGAAAGTAGTCGCCTCTTACACCAAGAGCCTCCAGTACTGCAAAGATCTGTGCTTTCATCAGTGTGGACAATCCTTCTACCAAAGTAAATCATCATTCTTCTCTAAGTTTAACAAAAGTGGATGTGGCCAAAAATAAAAAAAAGTATCAATCCACCAGCACCCAGGTGATGAAATTCTGTGAACATAGGTCAGGTCCCTAGGATGATGGTCAATCCCATTATTGAGCCCCTTTGCAAATCCTTCCTGGTTTATGGGACCTGCCCGAGCTTGTACTTAATTGGCATATCCTTCAAGAACGCATCACAATAAGATGTCAGAGGAGGCCTTTTAGCCCCATGAAATCAGGGAGAAAAATTTACCTTCCTTAGCCTTGAGGGAGGATTCAAGGTGCTTCTTCATAATAGCCATATCAGTGGACAATTCTATAATCTGCAGGCAAAAAGTAAGAAGAAAAAACTTCAAGTGTCTATAAATAAGAGGCAACAATACTACATAAACTATCCACTAAGAAGAGACAAGAACATCCTACTGCCCACCACAGCAATCCTGGGTCATTACCACTCCCTTGGCTTTTATTTAACAATACATTTAACCAATGAAGTATTCTTCACAGCACAATTATGCTATATCATGATTTTTTAAAAAAGAACAATAAAACATCAACTAGTGCTAAGACTACGAACAAGTCACAGGCAACTAGGTGGTAAAGTATATAGAGAGCTGGGCCTGGAGTCAAGATGACCTGAGTTCAAATCCAGCCTCGGACACTTACTGTGTGACCCTGGGCAAGTCACTTAACCCTGTTTGCCTCAGTTTCCACAGCTGTAAAATGGGGATAATGATAGCATCTACTTCCCAAGGGTATTGTGAGGCTCAAAGAAGATAATAATGGTAAAGGGCTTAGCAAAGTGCCTGGAACATATTAGGCGCTTTATAAATACTTGTTCCCTCCTCTTTTCCCTTCTCTGAGGCTCCATTTCCTTATCTGCAAAAGGAGGGGGTTGGACTAGATATTCATATAGGTCCCTTCCAGCTCTAAAATTCTCTGATTCGAAGTCCTTATACAGTAAACTACCACTTATTCACAATCTAAACAAAAAGAAAGCTTATTATCCTAAGTTTTATGTACAATAATGTAAAAAATGATAACTGACATTCAAAATGAATCTAACACACTTAAAAACCTGCAATGCTTTAGGAATTCAGAATTAAAATATGTTCAGAACAGTTTTTGTAATGTAAATGTTATGATACTCCACTAATGTCCTACTCTGTAACTTCAAGGTGGTGTGAAGGTAACCATGCCAAATGTCATGCCAGAAGAGTGCAAGGTGGGACAAGTTCTACCAGACTGATAGCGCCTGGTGATGAACAGAACTATAGTTTTATTGCATGCTGACAGGCCCATCACCAGAAAGTTGACAATTAGGGAAGCAATTTTTTCTGCATTAGTGGAAGTAGTACCCCATTAATGAAATGATGGATAGGTCAAAACAATTTAAGGTCATGTCTTACCATGTTTCAATTCTTTAAAAGTTACTAGACATACTATACATAGATTATCAGTTACAAGTATGAACATTCAATTAACTATAATATCCCACTAAGCAATCTTCTGAATAAAGACAACTACTATAAATAGAACTGTTTACATAAAACTAAAGTTCTTCAAAGAATGAAGAGATACATAAAGTGTAAGGGGTGGTGGTGGCAGAAATCAACTATCAATTGAATATCTTATTATAGTTAATATTTTATAGCACTTTATGTAGCACTTTCCTCATGAATAGCACATACAGAAAATAGTACAACTATTACCATCCCAATCTTCCAGACAAGGAATATGAGGCTTAAAGACTTGCCCAATGAAAGTCATACAGCTGCTAAGTGTTAAGGTCATTCAATCCAATTCAACAAATATAAATGGAACCCAGTTTCCTGAGTTCCAAGTTCAATGTGTTCATCCCAGTCCACTACAAAAAGTTTAGTGTGGCAGAGCTATTTTTATAAACTAAACTAAACCAAACTAGGTTTCCTAACTAGCATGGTAGCCCTCATTCTTACCACTTTGATTTTTTGTTTTTCATCTGAAAACTATCTGGTTTCTAGTCTCAAGTCTAATGCTCAAAAAATATCCATCAGTCTAAAATCTTTAGATATGGGAATAAGTGGAGGAGAAAAGAATAAATGACCTCAAGGCCTTCTCCAGTCATAATTAAGCCTCCCTGGAAACTAGCAATTACATCCAACCTGATGAGAAATTTAAACCAACTCCATTAACAGGGAGGAATACTGGAATAAGAGGGAAAATCAGAATACTTTGTTGATCATAGGGTAGAATGTAGATGAGATGCAATTTCATCAGCCTGAATTATATAAAGTTGTTAAAAAAGAAAAAAAAAAGCCAATGCAACATTAATAATGAACCAGAAAATCTGAAAGAAGACTCTCAAGTTGAGGATGCCAGTAGTGCAGTAGCAGGTACCATAAGGAGTATGGAATATAAGGGAACATTTCCACTCAACTAGAATTTAGTAAGCACTATATAAATTAAGGAGAAGACTCAAAGATGGAAACAATAGGGACTACAATAATCCTCTGTACTGAGTGGTTTACAATTCAAGGCAAAATGAACACTCCAAGGGGCCCCAACAGAACCCTTGGAGAGAACTATTAGGGCAGACTGTTGCAGCTGAGGAGTTAACGTTAATAATTTAATTCCACAATCCAGCGTCATGCTTCAACCCATGATACAACCTGCTCCAAAAGCAGATGAAGAAATGCTGGAAGAAGACACTCTAAAAAGCACTGAAGATTAAAGGTAAAGCCCTAATATTAAGAACACAAATACCACTCCGGGCAAAGAAGGTAGCAACAGATACCACAGCACGTTATTGTTCTAATTTCCTTTACTTTTCTGTTACTGTGGCCTAATGTAATTCCCCAGTTTTTAAAAATCTACATGAAAAGGTCACTGGATTCAAATGGAACCATATCAGGAAGAGGAAAAGTCAGGCTTATTATGTACAAAAAAGATGAGAATTAGAAGATAAATTTTTAAAATACATGAAACCCCAGACAGCAGCCATATCAGAGTTTTGTCCTAAATCACACTCCACTCAAACACTGAACCAAACGATCAAAGATTTAAAGCTTGAAAGGACAACAGAGGCCATTAAGACCAATCCCTTCAATTTACAGATTAGGAAACTGACATCCAGGGAGATGAAGGGACTTGCCCAAGGTCACCCAGACAGTAAGTAGTCAAGTTGCAAAAGGAATTCAAGTCCTAGGACTTCCAGTTCAACATGTCTACATCAGTATTCCTTCCACTACAACATGCTGGAAAACCATCTTTGACCTTCATGGAGAGTAATATGAAAAGACCCTTACCGGTGGCACAGAGTCACTTTGAAAGCCATCACCACACTTAAGCCATGCTTTGGAGAGGGATGTATTTGCTGTAGGTGTCCCAGCATCTTCTTTTCTGAAGCCAGACACACTCTCTCCTGGAAAGAGTGTGCATTCTGTATCCCACGCCTTTCTTCGCTGTAAAAATAAAAATTAAAAAAAAGTGAAAACAACAAACAAATCAGTATCATGCCAAATAAAAAGCAAACTCTCAATTAACCATGCTAAAGGAGAAAGCAGTTACACAAAGAATCCAAGGTAGAGAAGAATCTCCAAGGCATTTTTAGGGGGCTTTAGAACACATCCAATTTTGGAAAGCACTTTCATTGTGGTACATTACAGTATTACACACCAATTGACAATAGGGTAATAACCCATATTCTAGATTATCACAGTATTTCCATCCCTGAAACTTTTCCTCAATGAGAACTGGAAGAAGGTAAGAATTATATTCTTTGTTAATTCAGATGCCTAAAACATTTCCCAGGTTAGTTACATATCAGTTTGGCTACATCCTAGCTATGTGTTACTTACCTGGATTTCATTCACAATCAAAATTCTTTTCACAGACTACCAAACTTGAAATTAATACAAATGACTTAAAAGCATATGATACCCATCTAATCGACTGCCAAAGTCTCTCTTTGCCTACCCTCTCTGAGAGCTAGTCCTTATAATAAAGATTAAGAAAAAAAAAAAGGTTCAGCAAAACTAACCCAAATATTACTAAAAGCTGATGTTCTATGCAATGTTCCACTTCTATGGTTCCCAACTTCTGCAAAACAGGCAGCCAGAGAGTGGATAGCGCTCTGAAGGCATGTCACAAAGGCCTAAGTTCAACATGGTCTCACTATTCACATTAGTTGTGTGACCCTAAGCAAATCACTTAACATCTATCTTCCTCAGTTTCCTCATCTACAAAATAGCGATAATAAGAGCACCTAGTTCCCAGGGTTGTCATGAAGAAAAATAATATAATCTTTGTAAGTCTTAAAGGCCCAAATAAATGCCAATTATTATAATTACCATAAAAAGTGAGAGGAAGTATATTCTCATATCTTTTCTTTGGGGCCAACCTTGGTCAAAATTTAGCAGCATTCAATTTTGATTGTCTTGCTGGAGCTGTTCTCTCCGTTTACATTGTTGAAGTCATTTCGTATATTATTTCCCTGTTTCTATTTATTTCACTTTTCATCAGTTCGTCTAAGTGTTGCCATGCTTCCCGGTATTTATTATATGCACATTCACTTCTTACAGAACAGTAATACTCAACTGCATTCATGTACCACAATTTTTTTAACCAACACCCAACTAATAGGCATGTACTTTGGTTCCAGATTTTTGCTACCACAAAAAGTACTGCAGGAGTGATCTTCTTAAAACATCATTTTTATTATGTCACTTCCCTACTCAAAAATGTTCAACAGCTCCCCATTTACCTGTAGGAAAAATTCTAAACTCCTTCTCCTAGTATTTATGGTCCTCTACAACCTTGTCCCAATCTATATTTTTAACTTTATTTCCCTATAAGACCCTATTCATTGTCCCTCAAACACGCCACATTTGTGGCATCGCTATTTCTTTGCTCACACTAGTTCCCCTGAAATAAAAGTCACTTCAGTCGGCATGTTCAATACCTACCAACTATTCAATGTCTTGCTCAGGTCCTACTTCCTCCATGAATCCTTCCTTACCTGACTGCTCAACATCTACCTCTTCCATGAAAACTTATCTGACCACTACTAAGGGGAATGATTTTTGGACTGGAAGGAATACAACAACAAAAAACGATTGGTAGAGAATTAAGTCTGTCAACCAATAAGCATTTATGACTGCACCAGATGCTATGTTAAGTGCAAGGGATAAAAAGAAAGGCAAAAAAACTAAAGAAACAAAACCACCTTCAAGGATCATTCACTTTAATAATGGAGAGAGAGCAAGCAAATAGCTAGATACGTAGAAGACATCCAGTGCAGATGGAATGTAATCTGAAAGGGGAGGCCCTGGAAACTAGGGGGACCAGCACAGTCTTCCTGCAGGTGAGCTCTGAGCTGAGCACTGACGGAAGCCAGGGAAGCTAATGGTCAGACCTCAGAGGGAGAACATAACAGACAGAGGGGAGTCAACACAAAGGCATGGAAACAAAAGATGAAGGGTCATGTTCAGGACACTGTAAGCAGGCCACTGTAGCTGGATCACAGAGTTTGTGAAGAGAAGTCTGTAAAGGTAGGAGAACAAGCCAGCTTATAAAGAATTTTAAATGCCAGAGGAAGGACTTTGTATTTGATTCAGAAGGTAAAAGAGAGCCCCTAAGTTCACAGAGCAGGGGGTGTCATGGTCAGACTTTCACTTTAGAATCACTTACTTGTCTTGAATCCTAAGATAAATGAAAAGATAAAAAGAGAACACTTAGTTGCCCTTAATGAATTCAAGTCATTTGGCTTAGATGAATTACATCTTTGAGTACTTAAAGAACTAGTGGAAATAGTTATTGGACCACCATTGGTGATGCCTGAAAAACTGTAGGGAATGGGAGAAGTACCCATTTATGTAAGTTAAAAGAAGTACCCATTTATATAAGTTAAAAGAACAAAGATTCTCCCAATTTTCAACAAAGGAAAAGGAATGGATTCAGGAAGTTATAGGTCCATGAGCATGATCTCAATTCCTGAGAAAGTTCTAGATCATAATGTCATGGTTAATAAACATCTAAAAAAGGAAGGAATGTTCACAGATCTCTCAGTCTGTCTCCTATGCTAACCTGGACTAGAAAAATGACTCACTGTGACTTTTTTCTTGGATTAGCTGGTCAAGATTTGGTCTGGTGTGTTTTCTAGATATGCATGGAGTAGTTTTGTTTGAAAGGAAAGAAGAAAATGGAACTTGCACCTCTTTCATAAAGTGCTTGGCACATAGTAGGCACTATACAAATGCTAGCTATCATTATTATTATTACTCCATCACCTTGATTCCACCTTCCCTCTCTATGGCGTTGATCACACCACTGTTCATGTCCAGTAAGTCCTCCACCAGGCTACTTTAGCACAGTCACACCCTAGACGTCACAGATGACGACTTCAGAACATTCTACTACCTCTGACTGTTTTCACCCCTCGCTTTTTTATTCACATTAAAAGTGTCTGTCACCTGCAGCAACACTTTTGATCCTTCAATTCAGTCACTATGCTCCCAATCCATCTCCCCTGCTCTGATTTCCCTAGCCTCCAAACCCAGTATCGACTCCACTGTGTGTCCTGTGAATGATTCATTAAGCCACAACCCTAGAATTGCTCACATCCCTGACTCCCTGACAATTCCCAACCTGTTAATCCTCAACTCTGGGTCTCCTAAATGTTTACTCTGTTCCTGCTCCCAATATATCCAACATGTGATCATATTCACACACTCCAAAAATAGGAGGAGGTGCTCCCCTGTTTGTACACTAAGGAAAAAGCATTTTGTAAAACAAAGATACTCTCAGGTTTGTATGTGTAACTAAGAAAAAGTCATTGAATTGAGTTGATTTCATTCACTATAAATATATGATGTTTAATATGTGCAGGATCCTCACTGCTACCTGGCAAATCCTCCTACTCTAGCCTTATAGAGTTCTTTTATCATTTTCCATAGGAACTGTACTGAAGTTACCCTCTCCTTTTAAGCCCCTACACATGCTTCTAATCTCTCTCCACACACACACACACACACACACACACACACACACACACACACACACACACACACACACTCTTACTTACTTACTTACTTACTTATACAGGAAATGACAGCCTCCAAAGTCATTGTGAATGCTGAGGGCAGATAGGAACTGCTTCAACTTTTCTCCAATTCTCAAAAAAATTCTCATCATCATCATCGCCAATTCTTTTCTTCCTTCTTCCAGGGTCAGTACAAGAACTATGCCAACTCCTTGCTAAGGGAAATCCCTTTCCTTCCTGGCTTGTTCAGGACCTTACTCCAGCATTCATCTCGTCTCCTTCCTCTCTACCAATCAATATGCTCAATCTCTTCAATCCTAAACAGCCTTAAGGGGCAGCTAGGTGGCTCAGTGGATAGAGCTCTGGCCTTAGAGTCAGAAGGACTTGAGTTCAAATCCAGCCACAGACACTTGATACTTCCTAGCTGTGTGACCCTGGACAAGTCACTTAACCACGACTGCCTCACCAAAAAGCAAAAAACAAAAACAAAAAATCGTAAAACAGTCTCCCCTTGACCATTTTACTCCACCCAGGAACTGTCCCATATCTCTATTCCTCTTCAATGTCCAACTTCTGGAAAAAGTTATCTATGTCTGATGTTCCCAATTCAAGTCAACAAGCATTTATTTAATGGTTACTATGTGCCAGCCATTGTGCTAAGTACGTCCTCACTAATCAGTGGCCCCCAACAGCCCACTGCAATCTGGCACCACCATTCTACTGAAACTGCTTTGTCAAAAGCCCACCAATGACCTCCCAACCAAAAAAGTCTGAAGGCCTAAACTTCTCATTAGAGCAGCCTAGTGGTGTAGTAGATAGAGTGCTAGGTCTGGAGTCAGAAAGATTCATCATCTTCATGAGTGCATATCCTACCTCAGACTCTTAGTAGATGTGTGACCTGGGAAAGTCACTTAACCCTGTTTGCCTCAGTTACTCATCTGTAAAATGAACTGGAGGAGGAAATGGCAAACCACTTCAGTTATATTTGCCAAGAAAACCCCAAATGGGGTCATGAAGAGTCAGATATAACTGAAACAACTGAACAACAAAAACTTCTCATTCTCCTTGACCTCTTGACAGCATTTGCCACCCTCTTTTTCTGCATGATCTGTTCTTTCTTGATTTCAGAAACACTGGACTCTCCTTCTTCTCTTACCCCTCCTCTGCTTCTCTCTCAAGTTCCTCATCTTCCTCATGATCTTAAGTGAGGAGATTCCCATGTTCTGGATTTGGTCTGGACCATGCTCCTATATCTGCATTCCTAATGTTGCTCCCACCACCAGTGGGCTCCTCCGAACCTACTGTCTCCTCCTCATTTACTACATCCACCCAAGCCTGCTAACCATGACAGTGATGTTGACTGTTAACAGATGGTACAGAGGGCAACAACAGCAATTTGGTGATCTTGTTCCTTAAACTCAG